CCCCAAAACCCCAAAACCCCAAAACCCCAAAACCCCAAAACCCCTTTACAAGAGAATTTTATTGAATTTGAATTTAGGCGTCGATCTGCCAAGGACTATAATGAATGTTGTTTTCATCCTTGGAATCACTCTGGATCATACCCATATTTCCGATACCAGCATTCTCTTCCTGCATCAGTGAGTTTTCGTCTTCTGCGAGATCATGGGCTGAAGCATACACGTTTTGTTGGGGATTCCTCCAGTTGCTTCAAGGGACACCAGAGTTCATCTTACTGAACAGAAGTCGAAGGACTCTTTCTCTATCCTCCCAGTCTAAGTCTTTGAGGGCTATCTTGATGTCCTTCTCCATTGAAGAAGCTCCAAAGAGGTAGCTATTACTTTTGTTAAAAGATTGCCTTGACTGAGATTTATTAATATCAGGCAGGCTACTTTCTCTGTTTCTCTCCTTTCTCTTTCTCACTTCTTCCTTTACTTGTTCAAGAGCTTCGAGGAAGAACTGCTCTACATCAGATCTTTGATCGAGAATCATCTGGCATAAAGCCTTAATATTCTTGATTTCTCTTTCTTTGAGTTTAATTTGTTCCTTGTAATTTTTAATATCTTCATCTTGCTCTTTCTCAATTTGCTCATTTTGGTATTTGAGAAGCTCCTTTTCTTTCTCAAAATCTTGCACAATCTGAGCTAGGGACTTATCCAACATACTGATTTTGCCCTTGAGGTCTTTAATTTTGAGATTTTGTTCATATTGCTTTTTGGCATAATCCACAACAGTGTCAATATTAGCATCAAGATCTTTCTTATAGCCTATATTCTCTTCGAATACAGTTTCCTTCTGCTTTTCAATGAACTCAATAACATCGTTCTGTAGGTTGACTTCAGTATCAAGTCTAACGTTCTGCTGCTGAATACTTTTATCAATTTCTGAGATCTTCTTCTCTGCTTCTAGCTTTGCTTTCTCTTTCTCAAGACTGAGCTTCTGCTTATGCTCGTCCTTCAGCCTTTCCTTTCTCTTTATGATCTCCATATGTTCATTATATTCAATATTCTTGATCTCTTTCTCCTTAGCCTCATTCTGCTTACGTAATTCCTCCCTTTCCTCCTCTCTTTTAGCCTGATCTCTCTCAAAATCCTTCAACTTCTCAAGATCTTTCGCTAGTCGTTCCTTTTCCTACAAAAATTACAAAACCCGTACAGCAATGGTCTCAGCTAACTTTCCCTCCTTCTGCGTCTTAATCTCCAGAAGCTGTTCCTTATACTTCTGCTCTCTGTCCTCTCTACTATCTTTATTATGAAGGGACAAATTCTCAATAACAGATTCTAAATTCTTGATTTCCTTGTCTTCATTCTCACACCCCTTCTGTAACTCAGTAGTAGTAATCCTCTTCTGGTTCTCTTCACTCACAAGCTGTGTCTTAATGTCCTTGGCCTTCTGCCTAAGTTCTCGGATTCTACGCTTCCGTTCTTCTATGATTAGGTTCATTTGGGTCATTTTGGTGTATTTGTCACGATCTGCTTGGAGGAGTTCTTCTTCGTTGAATTCTTCCATTTTTGAAAATATTTATTAGTTTTATTTTTGGGGTTTTGGGGTTTTGGGGTTTTGGGGTTTTGGGGTTTTGGGGTTTTGGGG